TAATTGTTTTTTTTTCACGATTAAAACCGCGTAGAAAGTTTAGGCATTATAGTTGACGCATGCGCCATAGATTATACACTTATGGCATGCGCAGTACACATATTTTGTATACATTTATTCAACTAATACAATTAATTAAACAAAAAATGAGTAATTTCGAAAGAGAACAAACGTATTTTATATAAGAACAATCGAAAATGAATATTTACGAGTAATTAAGGACGAAAAAATATTAAAAATTGCAATCGAGGGGCTAACTTTTAGATATATTTTTAATATTTTTTTTAAAATAAATAAATGGGGAACAAACAATTATTAACAGTGAACAATCAAGAACAAATGATGAACAAACGAATTAATAGAAAATAAGTAGAAAACAGGAAAAAAAATTTTTTTTGAGGGGCTAACTTCATTCACCTATCATTTTTGTAGTTAGATAGTCTCCAAAGAGTAATCTGTTAATTTGAAAACTATACATGATGTTTAGTAAAAGTCGTAAATCCGGTACACCGCCATCTATTGAGTACTGATGCAAACACTTGTTCACAATTTTTATTCTTGCTATTGCAGTATCGTAGACTTATTTGAGACACAATATTCAGTAGATATAGGACATTCACCTCTAAAAACTTCAACGCATTTTCCCCCACGTAATCACTGGTAGCCTACAGGGCTATTCTAACTACGCGCAGATCGGTAGGTAAATATGAGTTCCCGAGAAAATTCTCTAACACTAGCCCAAGCAAGAGCCCTGTTTCGCTGGATCTTTCACTGGATCCGAAATCGCCACCCATAGAAGATTCGGCGAGAACTCAGTGGGTCGTGTCTATGGGTTAGATTGTACCTCGAACTTATGAAAAGTTCGGAAAAAGCGGCGCGTCACGATAGCTCTCTTATCGTGGCCGCCTCGCCCAAAACATATCTTGTCGAATCTTCCGAATCCATGTAAGGTAACTGGCCAACCTTTGAATGCGATGAACTACTGAAACATTATCCCCACTAAACAATTGATTTCCAATGGCGTTATATGCGGGCATTGGGTTAAATTAAACTTTATTAAGATTTTCGCGGAATCTCCACACTACCCATATATAAATATAACATAATATAAATGAGTCGTCTATTATCAAAGGTGGCAATCTGTGCATTTGGACAAAAAAAATTTATTGATATGTCAATACAGATTGATTTGAATACAATCGTCTCCTTCAAAGAATACGGTTCAAAACCTGAATTAAATAAAGGTCAATAGTTAACCTGTTATTTATCTAAGATGTCGTTCCGAAGAGTTTTGTGACTGCCAATGGAATACAAAGTCAATAATTCGTTTTTCTGATTTACCAATCATTGTCCAAAAGTCAGATTGCCGGCTTTGATAATAGTCGACTCAAATATAAAAGTCTATACTTAATATAGGAGACCACTTAGATTTCATTTGCGGTTTACTTGATAAACAGCTAATGTTTTAAAATGGTAATAATTAAGGTAAATGAAAACAAACATAAATCTATTATTGTTTTATTCGTAACTTAATTATCAACATGAAGTTTATCTATGTTAGCTACCATCTATATTTACACAACAATTTACAAAATAAATGCTAAGCGCGCCGCTTCGATACAAACTCCGAGTGCAACATTTAACTTTTCCTTAATTTTTTATGATGACATTTACAAACGTCAAACGTCAATTATTTAATAGCGTCGACGTGGTTTTTCACAAATATTTTATTAAATTAAACTTCAGTCGATTTGTTGAATTGAATTGACGACATGAGTGGATGAAAGGGGTTAAGTATAATTTTTATGATTTTTAAGATTTTACATTGAATGAAGGTTTTGTGTGCCTATAAACCATATTAGATCTTAAATCTCCGGGCTTAAAAGCAATTTTTATAGAAAAAAATACAAGTAAAATAATAAAAGAAGTTTGTTGCCCGTTTTCTCAAAAGTAAAAAATTGTATCATGTTCCCTTCATCCACTTATGTCTTCAACTTTTTATTTTTATTAAATCATTCTATGCAAAGTATACTAGTAATTCTCTATGTTTTTCGGTCGGAGTAGGTTTCGTTGTTTAGCGGCGCAACGGGAACCTAATATTTAATACTAGTCTGAAGGCATACAGATACTCACTCCAACACTAATACTCTAGTCTTTTACATTAAGTACAGTCCAGTGGTGCACTCGTCCCTGCAGAGCGACGCTATGGCAAACTCGCGCGCATCACAAGCGTCTACCTTCTCATCGGAATAAAAAAATATTTCCTTGATGCGTGTTTCTATCAAATAGTTTGGCCCCTTTGAAGTACGACGCTTACTTGTAATCGATTATTGTCTTGTTTTTTGTACCTTAATTAAACGTGTGACTTATAATTTACTGAGACTCGCGCGGTTCAGGTGACGTCGGGTGATGAGAACGTTGACGCTTACAACCGGCACTTCATTAAATGCGTCTTATTGTCAAAAATATCACAACAAACAGTCGTTCTCGGATCGGGGGGCGGGGCCCGCGGCGGCCCTATATACACTATACACGTCGTAGCTGCCCAGCGGCAGACAATTCCAACGGAAGACTAATTTTATATCGTAGAGCTGCGAGGGCGAACAGACCTCCACGCGAAGGATCAACGACTTCACCTCGAGCTCTCACTAAACAACAGTAACAAAATAAAATATAATATTTAGAACAAAACTACATCCGAATGACACTAGTCGGGTGAGAGATTCCAGACAGAACGGGAAACACTAGTTCTAGTTCGCATGAAACGTCACTGGGTTTTAGAGCCGCGACCCAAACTTAACAAATACTGAGATTTTGACGAAATCGGCGGTCGGAGCGGAGGGAGGGGGGATTGGGGGGGTGGAGCTCACACGAGCTTCAGCGCTGTGTCTGCGCGATATTTGGCGAGCGTCTTCTTGACGCGTAATGCGGAGAGTCTCGCCCTGGGGCTGGCCGACCAGCACTCCGACATGAGCGCCCCCAGCGCCGCCAGTCGGTCGCAGTGTCTCCAGCGCGGCGGCAGGGCGGGCCGCAGGTTGGCGCGCACCACCACAGCGTGCATGTCCTCGAAGGAAGGGTCAGGCGGCACCGCGTCCTGGTACGGCAGCGCGTAGGGCTCCACGAGCTGCGCCTTGTCCCCACTGGCGCAGCGCCGACACACCTCCCACAGCACGAGCCCGAGCGAGTACATGTCGGCCATCTTGAAGGCCTCGAAGTCTGTGACGTCGAGCGTCTCGTCGAGCACCTCGGGCGCCATGTACCGGCGGGTGCCCACGCGCGTGTTGGGCGCGATGTCCACCTCGTTCCGCTCGGCGACGTACCGCACGGCCAGACCGAAGTCTGCGATGGCGCACTGCCCGTTGCGCTTCACGAGGATGTTCTTGCTCTTGATGTCGCGGTGCGCGATCGCCGGCTTGCCCTTCGTGCCGTATATGTCCATGTGCAGATGCGCGAGGCCGCTCACTATCGAATACGTCATCGTCATGAGGGAGTTAGAGTCGAGGACGACGGTCTGAAGGTAGTCGTGCAGCGAGCCGTTCTCGTGATAATCCGTAATAAGGAGCATCTGGGTCCAGGAGCCCGTGCCCTTGATGTCGGCAGCGATGAATCCAAGAATGTTATCGTGTCGCATCAACACCGTCTGGTAAATCTCGGTTTCTCTGAACCAGGACGCTTCCTCGGTCGTGAAGAATACTTTGACGGCTACTTTCTCACCGCGCCATCTTGCGAGCCACACCTCCCCGTAACGCCCTTTCCCGATGGACTCCACCATCTGTATTTGTTTGGCAACAGTCCTTTGGACGAGTAGCGGCAAGCCAGAGCCCGACCCTGAAGATATTTCGGAACATATCGGCGGCGCTGGTGGAGACGGCGGCCTCTTGCAGCCGCGCCTCCGTCGTCTGAATAACAACAAAAAAGCTGCCAGGAAAGCGATGAGAGCCACGCAGAGAGCGATCGCGACCAATAAGGTGGGACTGCTCGTGATCGGGGGCCGCACCCCCGGGGACTCCGTCACGTCCGGTGACGGTTCAGATAGCTGAGGATGGAGCCGAAGGTTGCACAGGTCTTCGTCGTAACAGCACTCGATTACTTTCGGGTGCTGATGTGGCACTTGTGAACTTTTGCACTGTAATGAGAAAACGTGCAATAAGTGAATCTATTCAAATAAAAATAAACGTTTCGCGGTCATGTTGAACTGAAAAAGGTAATGGTAACTGTTTGGTGGTCTCAGCATGGTGTTATTCACTATAACATTCTTCGATTTGGTCCTGTGCCGAATTCCAAGCAATGATAGCAAAACTTGCAGTAAAATAGCCCTGACTCATGAATCGGTTTTCACCATTATTGCTAACGCGAGACCTCACACAGCACGAGAAACAGTTTTAACTCTACAGGAACTACAATTAGACACCATTCGTAACCCTTCGTATTCGCCATACCTTGCTCCAACGGACTACCATTTTTTTCATTATTCCTTTCGGTTTTTTTGTTGTTTTTTTATTGCTTAGATGGGTGGACGAGCTCACAGCCCACCTGGTGTTAAGTCGTTACTGGAGCCCATAGACATTTACACCACAAATGCGCCACCCACCTTGAAATATAAGTTCTAAAGTCTCAATATTGTTACAACGGCTGCCCCACCCTTCAAGCCGAAACGCATTCCTGCTTCACGGCAGAAATAGGCGGGGTGGTGGTACCTACCCGTGCGGACTCAAATGAGGTCCTACCACCAGTAAACAAGTTTATCTGTTCTATTGTGTTACTTACTTGCATCAAGCCCGACTCGTCAGCGGAGAGACACCCGGCGGTCCGGTCCAGCACCACGCTGCCGCTCTCGTCGAGCACCTCCTCGACGGCGACGAAGCAGTAGCCCCCGACCTGCGTGACGCACGTGCCGTTGGACGAGCCGTCGGGGCACGCTCGCGCGCCGGCGCACTCGCACCGCAGGCCCCGACCTGGAATAAATCACAACAAAACGTAATTTCACATCATTACACCCATCTTCTTCTTATCAACCCATAGACGTCCACTGCTGGACATCGGCCTCCCCCAAGTTTCGCCATTAAAGACCGGTCCTGCGCTGCCTGCATCCAGCGGATCCCCGCGAACCTCGATAGATCGTCGGTCCATCTTGTGGGAGGCCTACCCACGCTACGTCTTATATAGTCTTATTACACCCATATATAGTGGTATTTTGCCTATTTAGGCTAAATTCAATGGTAGATATGAGCAACCGAACAATTACGTTTCATTATCGAAGCCTGTTAAAAAAGTTTTTTCTTCTTCTATTGCTTAGGTGGGTGGACGAGCTCACAGCCCACATAGTGTTAAACGGTTACCGGAGCCCATAGAAATCTACAACGTAAATGCCAGTTTATTATCTATATTATATATTTAAACGTATATAAGTATGTTTGTCAGTTTCTGGTACCCATAACACAGGGAATCCTAAATTGGGCCCGGACGATCGTGCGTGATTTGATCCCAATTATTATTATTATTGTCATTATTGTTTTTCAAATTACATGTTAACCAAACAGGTGCCACTGCATCAAGACATTACGTTAAGGCTACAATTAAACGTATCACAACTGCGTGCATATAATAATGAAGCTTTTACCTTTACCTCAATTGTTTTCCGTTTCAATATTATAATTCGTTTTAAATGAAATACGCGTCAATATTACTCACAAAAGGAAAGAATGCTCGTAAATGGAAAACATTAATGATTTACATGGAAAACGAGACCGCTTTTTCGAGGCTGACAAATCAAACCTTGTTCTATAATATGAATCGACATTAATTATATAAAACACTAGCTGACCCGACAGACTTCGTAGTGCCTCAATCGATAAATAAAAGACCTAAACTTTTGTATAAAATAAACTTAAAACAAACAAAAGAATCCGTCCGACGGGGGGACATCGAAGGAAAAACAAAATTGCTATTTTTATTTAATTCCGAGCATTTTCATATTTATCTACCTTTTAGACCTCTGGAGTCCACAAATAGTTCAAGACCAAAATTAGCCAAATCGATCCAACGGTTCTCGAGTTTTAGCGAGACTAACAAACAGCAATTCATCTTCATATATATATAGAAGATTAGTACGTTAGTAGACCTTAGAACTCATATCTCAGAGGTACAAAATATAAGATCCCAGAAGCAAAGATAAAAGACGTACCCGATTTGTGAGCGCCTAATTTCCTATTAGAGAATCGATTCTCCACAATCTAATCATCGATAAAACGTACATTTTATAAATAACTAATGAGAAACTTCATAATCAGTTACACGAGTAAGCTTTTAAAACAGGAATCGATATAAAACGTACGATGCTATAATGATATTCTGATAATGGCATTAAATCAATATCAGCGGAGACGATAAGTGAAGGACGCGCGGAAATTAATATTAAAACGTGTCAATCCGTGCTTTGGGTGTGTTACTACCGAAATGGAACGTGTGCTTGGCCTTAAGTGATTTTAATTTTTATTACAAACACGAATTGAACGTGCCTACATAGAGATAGATAGATTCGGCGGCGCATTATTTAGGGACCCTGCCTGCCGGGTGTCCCTGGGTAAATAAATATTCGTGTGATAAACAGGTTTGTTGTATCTGTGTGTATGATTAATGTCCGTATTATTATACACAATAATATGTATAGATTTAAACATATATAAACGTTTCGATCTCTGATTTTTATGGTACAGGGAGAACTGGATGACTACGTGCGATATATCCTCATATATTTGCAAAGAAACATTTTTTATCGAAAAAATATTATGGAATATTATTATAAATAAATATAGAATAGAAAATATCAAGGAAGAGAAGCACGAGAAACGACTAACTAACTGCTAACTTCTCAAAGAAATTACTTCCAGTGTTATAATGAGACTTGGTTTTGGCCTCGATGGGCAACATATTGTGGCAGCATGAGGTCCGAGTCTCAAGTATATTCGAGGAATATCCGTCTCACACTTCCAACAATAACACAAGATAGATGCGCAGCAGAAATATCCGGGCATTAATGCCGAATTGTATTAAGTTCATAGGTCCAACTCAGAGTGGTAATGGAGTTCAGAATTGGAACAGCCAATCATTTACTTGCAAAGTTAGGAAAGCAAAGAAACAAATGAATGAGTCAAGTTTATTGTAGACATTCATAAATAGCTTGAGCTGATCGATAAACTTATACATATGACGTAAGTATTAATTCACATTTATGGAGATGCTAATAATGTTTACGAGAATTATTATTGTACTGTACTCTCGTAATGAATAACATGAACAAATTCAATAAGTAACTATTACCCGCCCGCCAAGGAACACAAACGATTTAACTAAAATTTAGCGCAACTTCTAGTTATTTTAAGCTGACAAGATTTTTAATGACAAGTATTCGATAGTAGAACAAACTAGATTAAAAAAAACCTGTTTTTTTACACCAAATTTTTCATGTATCCCGACCCTTACGTGATAATAGTCTGTCCGCCTATTTTCCTAATCAAGTCACTACTACTACTTCATCACCTGTGGGATAAGGATAATCGTATAATATGATAATGGCCTGCTTTAATTTCCCCTAAACCCAAATCATGAGTATTGCCCGTGGCAGCAACTATACCATTCGCTTATTTCCGCATTCAATAGCAAAATTACTTCAATTCACTAAATACTTTTATAGTAATAAAGATCATTCAAGACTTCTTTTTAGCTTAAAAAAATAGTGCTGCAGAAACATCTAGAAAAGTCGGCTCGATAGTTTCTTCAAATATGGCCAAAATTATGACCCTAAAGGTATTGGGTAGTAAATGCTGGAAATTAGAAGATGAAGTGAAGAAGTCAAGGAAAAGAATAATTAATGAAACTTCCGAATTCACGATACCCAAAGATTTCTGAAGCATTTGAATGTGTGTGTGTGTGTGTCTGTGCTGTGAAATGTAATCAATGATTCCATTGTAAAAGTGTATACACAGTTGACCAAAGCGTAAATTGAAAAGACTCAATGTACCGTGACATTGAGATTCTCTCGATACCTAGAACTCGTTCAAGAAGTAATTAACAATCCTGTTATGGGCTCTTTTTAATATAACCTTCCTCTTGATGGAATTGCGCATTGTTTACGAACACTGCAGGGTTTTCGACAAAATCATGTCTATATAAAGTTTGTACCTAAATATTTTATTTATGGTCTTCGAAGGCATGTCATCGTGTCGTATGCTTTTGCCACCTGTTGGGAAAAGGTCGCCGCTACGCATAGACATGGACATGACACACCAGGGGCAAAATGAATACTAAGCGAGAAATTATCACATACCTCGTTTGTGGAAAATCATTAATAGAGTTCGGGTAGGGAAGTTAGTTCCGAATTTTTAAGGAATCGACTAAAGAAAGATCTTTGGTAGAGCAGCCCGCAAAATTAATAAGTGGCGACAGTTGAAAAGAATTAACTCTATACCAATATTCAATTATACGACACTATGGATAGATACTTTTCTATTGAATTTATTTATTTTAAACTTTAAATCGAACAAATTTTACTGTGGATTGAACATTTCATTACGACCGTAATAATAAACTTTTTATGTAGCTTTTTTTGTGTCCTATTTTGAAAAGCCACAGGTACAAGGGCTGGCTGAGGAAAATAAATACAAAAGGTCCGAGAACAACAATGAAATCAGAACAGGTAAATCTTAAAACCGAACCATTTGCTGGAGAGAGCTCGGAATAGGTCTATTGTTCAAATTTACAATGAGAATATATTAAAGTAAAATTTTTTATTAGAAATATGTTCAACTGTTACTGGAATACAACAATCTATGTAACTATATTTATCAAAGTTATGATAGGTGTGACACTCAATATTGAACAATAATTTTACAATCGCAGCGTCAAATAAACAATCCCATTTTATGTCAAATCAAAAATACTTCAATAACTAATTTGTCTTCTTATAACGAAAAAATGATTATAATAATATGATATTGTGGTGACAAACCATCTACGATAAAATATGGTCAATTAAAGAAAAACAAATCTTCATTACAATCATTAAGCGTGTCATTTAAAAATGGATTGATTTGTAAAACATAAACAACCACTTGAAGAATTCACCTCAGTGTTTGTATTTTTCTTTTTCATTTGACTGGATATGAGTTTGAGTTTTACTCGCCTAATAATGCAGTACCAGAGGACGAAGGAATTACAAGTTAAAACTTACTAGAAGACCCGAACGTTGCATGTAAAGTTACGACAAACACAGGAAACGATGAATGAATCAACATGCACATCCTTTCATTATACAAATCCGCTCCGAAGACGGAACCATCACAGGAAAGCCGTCCGACTAAAAACTATATAAGATTCATCTGAAACTTCGATGGAACACCTTCCAAACAACATTATTTTACATTATGAATCTGAGATCTTTGGAGGCACCATTCTCAGCAACCTTGGAGCCGTCGTATGAAATATGATATGCAGGCTTGCGGGCATCAAGCCTCGCAACGATTTACGATACAGTTTAATACTAGGCGTTGAACGTACTCAGCCTCATGTCGTCGGTGTTTTGCAGCGAGCCCAGTCCCGATTCCGCTCTATCATTTAAATATAACTCGGAACGCCGCCGTCTGTCGCCGACTTTATTTTTACACCACCAAGATTAAAACTGGACAGTCACAACGCACGGATTTCTCGGGATACGTAACAGTTGGCGCGCACTGATACACGTTAACGTATTCGGACGCGTGTCCTCCGCGTGACGCGTGGTGCGCGAATGAAGTGACGGAGCGCTCGACTCGAGTGGCGTCCCCGCAGCCCTGCCCCCTCCCCGCGTGCACTATGCACCGCCGCACCGTCCGCTGCACAGCCTCCACATGGCTCCGTGCCGAGATAATACCCAACTAATAGGTATACAACTTCGCACAGACGCATGATACACATATTTAAATGCGATTCATTGACGACAATACAATACGCCGATCGATAGCTTATGTGATCTACTTTTCAAGTATAAACAACGGAGACACGGTTCATTAACACAAACTGTTGAATTGATTACGGATATTGAATGAATTACTGAGATCGATTTAAAACTGAAAGAAGTGGTCCTTGGGTACCTATCCTTTTTTTGGCACATGCTTTTTTGGAAATTAGTACTGTACATACTAGATAACATTCTAATGCTATGCGATTCTGCATATCTAACATCTGTCAGTAGCTGTAGCTTTTAATAGTTTACGACACGTCAATATTCTTACTTGCACATGCTATAAGACAGAAGTGAACTATAAAACTATACCGAGGGCCCAACTAATCGGGTGACCGTTAAGGTCCCGTGTTTATGGGTACCATTTATCGACGCTTTCTCGACTTATTCCTTTAACGTTTCCTTTGATCGATTAATACGATAATTGCGATGTTCATTTTCTTTGATTCCCTTGATACGTGTTGCTTTATTTCGAACCTGTCGGAATTGACATCCGCGAGAGTCCATATGGGGATCACGTGTGCGGGTCGGGCCGTCGCGAAAAGCATCGCAGTCGTAAATTACTCAAAGTCAGAGAGAGACCAGGGTGCTTAGTGCGAGTTTTTTAACGTTCTCGCTAACGTAAAAGTTAGCTCATATTTGTATGTAATGGGATCGTTTGCGTACATTTGTCACTAGGGGCGCCAATTAGCCAAATAGGGCCAAAATAGGGGTTCCAATTGCATACAAAATGGGCTTAACTTTTATGCTATCGAGAATGTTACGAAACTCGCACTAAGCACACTGCAAAACGAATGCATCTCGAGCACGGAGGCGGCGCGCATCCACTTCAAACGATAAAACCAAACGCGCGCACGTGATCGTTGCCAAATCGCACGTAAATCACTCTTATGAATTCAAATTGCACGCGCCACAGATCCATTGTTCTCGACTACCGTTTTAAGCATCAATTTGCAAATAATGTAATGTCATTAGTTTAATACGAACCACGATTGGAGGATTTGATGGAGCGGTCGTGTCACTAACGGACATAATGTTAGTTGTATTCCGTGTAGTATTGACTTTATTATACGCGCGAGGCTATTTTCTCACGAGACTTGCTACTGGGGTGTTTCCACTGCACGTTTTAAATTCATGAGATTATTAGCAAATACCATCCATTGGTGGTAGCACGACTTGTGACTCCGCGGGTAGGTACCACCACCCCGCCAATTTCTGCCGTGAAGCAGTAATGCGTTCGGTTTGAAGGGCAGTGCAGCCGTTGTAACTATACCGAGACCTTAGAACTCATATCTCAAGGTGGGTTGCGGCATTTATGTTGTAGATGTCTATGGGCTCCGGTAACCACTTAACACCCAAACGATTTCTGGAAAATAAGCGAATCACATCATATTAAATTAGAGAAAAACCTGGGTCAATTCGAATTAGCTTGATGGAAAATCGAACAAACTGACGCCTTCAGTGCAGGAACTGTAGCTAATCATACAAATCGATTTGTTGGAGATACGAGTAAAAGGGGAATCGATCACGATCAATGCGATGGCGCGGCTTCGTGCTCCATCTCGATTTAGATATGAATAACTCGCTCGCCGTCACAATGCGGCAACGATTGAAATGTATTAAACGGTAAACATAACTAAAATATGTGGCCTGTAATAATAATCTCTCCATACAAACATCTCCATAAAAACCAAGCGTAAACTTGTAACAAGTCTTGTGTTCTCTATCTTAAATGGGGCGGAGACATGGACTCTGAAGAAGGCTGATCTAAGTCGGGTCGACGCGTTTGAGATGTGGTGCTAGAGGAAAATGTTGCGAATTCCCTGGACGGCGCATCGGAGAAACGCATCAATCCTGGAAGAACTAGGCATCTCCACAAGACACTCCACCATTTGCCTACGTAGGATTTTAGAGTTTTTCGGTCACGTACTGCGAGGAAAAAGGGTGACAATCTCGAAAGAATTCTCATCACCGGCAAAGTGGAAGGAAAGAGACCTAGAGGGCGTAGTCCCATGCGCTGGTCCGATCGGATTAAGACAACTTTGGACTCCAGCATTAATGTCGCTATCCACTGCGCGGAGGACAGGAAGGAATGGAGGAACACAGTCCTAACAAAAATGCTCCGTAAAGGTTACTACGACCCTCAGCACTGAGGAATACGACGCACGGAGGGAATAATAATCTTATTAATTGAATTAGGGACAAAAGGTTTTTTGAAACCGAACACAACTATGAAGTCTCGCTCATTATCGGGTTCGCAATTCGATCGTGAGTATAGCGAACGTGGTATAACAACGCGACGGAATGCCCGGGGCGGAGGTCAGCGTCGCGTGGCGCCGATCTAGCGACCTCTAGGATTATCCGAGCCGATCGATAAGGACCCGAGAAGCGGCCGGGTGCGATAGGGGGCTAAAGAACATAATTTATTCGGCGGCAGCGTGGCGCGCCTCGGACGCGCCGCGTCCCCCGTCGCCCGCGCATCTCAAAACTCATTTCTAAACAGGATCCTTCAATTTTTTGTGAGACTCCGAGGATTAAGGAGTATCAGGTTAAACACGGTTTACATAATAGTTTTTACGCACCGTTAATCGAGGAAAATGAAAAAAAACCACGCACACACACACACACTTTATAATACTAGGCAGGATTTGTGATCTGTTTATCTTCACCTGTAACTCGTGTACATTTAGTATGAACGATAAGAGCTCCCAAGAGTGACAAATGATAATATTTGTACAAACGCTAATGTATCGTTCCGCGGCGTCTGGTTCGATAGGGTCGTTGAAACTTTGACATTCGTTCGGTACGATCCGATGCACTGAACTGACATAATTCGTGACTTCAATAATTCAATTCGAATGTGACACTGCCAGGCTAATCTTAGGGCACGTAAACAATAAACAAACACTAGGTTATCATCATTGTAAATACTAATATTAAACGGGTTCTTAAGATGATTTTTAGTTGTAGTAATTACCAGATATGTCTCGACCAAGGCGCTTGCAACAACTCTGAAATAATTAAAATCTAGATCGTAATGATCTTAATAATTACAGTGCTCTCTGTTATTACTTTCAATAACCCATAATTTAGCTTAGTTACGTAATCCAGAGGATCTCAGATGTTATTGATCTTCGACTCCGGCTTACTTGAGATACTATAGTATATAGTAGGTACTTTTACATAGTACATAATTTACTATAGTACTCTCCCTAATTCTTCACGATTACCAAAGATGTTATTTACCTGTTCGCGTACCACAGTCCTGCCTATTTCTGCAGTAAAGCAACCACGTTTCACAGATTTATGTTGAAGGCATACATTTCCGGTGCCAAATTTATCATTTGTGTTGTACCCGAAACATTCTATGGATTGATTAAACAAAGAATAACCACGGGACCAGGCAGATTCTATTGTAAAATAGTTACGCCTCTAAGGACTACGTTTTCATAGGCACACAGTATGGGCCACATCGTACGGAAGAATTGACAATCAATATCGGTTAGTTAGTAGTCATCATTGATCCGATACAAAGACAAAGCGAATCAAAGAACCTTCCATCGACTCCTATATTAAAATTAATGGAGGACGGTCTCGATGATTTATATTTTAATGTAACTGGGAGTTCAACCTTGCGTCTTATATAGGCAACGGCATTCGCTTCCTAACACGTATGGTTCTCAGATGCTAGGCTCAATTTCCCATTAAGGTAAAAAAAAGATAATCGATTGGATATAGTATTTTATTACTTTATATTATTAAGGTTCTGTCAACCTAATTTAGGCCGTAATTTAGATTCTTATGGGCTTCTCACCGTGGGACGCGATTTCGATCCTGTGGTAAATTCTGCGAACCGAAACGCAACCAATTCAGCTCTTGTTAGGGTAGATGTTAGGAAGCTTTCACCGGTCAGTGTGAAGCCAAAGTAGGCTCTTGAGGCTATTGGCAGACAGGCAGAAAGAAGCTGCCACTCACATTTAATAGTGGAATCGATTTAATAACCTAAAAGCTGTCATGTTTCATGAACTTGATCACAAGTCTAACATTGGTTCACTGTTCGACTTGAGGAAGTTTTCTGTTTCTATTAAGATGCCTTTTTATTATTATATTGCTTAAACAGTTGAACGAGCTCACGGCCCACCTGGTGTTACTGGTTACCGGAGCCCATGTACATCTACAACGTAAATACCGCCACCCACCATGAGACAAGAGTTCTAAGGTCTCAGTTTTTACAGTTCAACGGCTGCAACGACAGAAATAGTCAGGGTGGTGGTACCTACCAGTGCGGACTCACAAGACGTCCTACCACCAGTAATTACATAAATTACCATTTTTGCGGGTTCGATTTTTGTTACACCGAGGAAATCAATCAACCAATTTCTGACTAATGGATACTAATTCGTTTCTCGAGCCTACAGAAAAGACGACGTCAATACTCGCACCCTTCTTGTGACATGCGAAAACTCAACAGTATTATAATGACGGACTGCTGCACATATTATTTTACCTTCCGTTAGCGAACCGACCCGTTATGTGGTGCTCCATACTATTGAACTTTCTCAAAACAGTATTTATGTGAAGAAGTTTATTCCACGGACAATGTTTATTTACTAAAACGTTACCCATGTACGTGTAATCGTGGTGTGCGATAAGAGCGCTTTTTTTTTATATAGATAACCAATCGATACAAATCTAGAAGCGTTGAGTGGGATCCCTGAAACACGTGGCTTATGCGTGACACTAAATACGACGCAGTACTTTTTCGGTACTTCGATTAAAATATCTCTGCCTATAAACATAAC